TTCTCGACCGGTAAAGGTTTATGGCAATTTAACGTCATGCCCTTCGGATTGTGCAACGCGCCTGCCACATTTGAGCGACTCATGGATTGTGTACTTGCAGGCTTAGTTGGAGAGGCTTGCTTAGTCTACCTAGATGACATCATCATTGTCGGCCGTGACTTCGAGGACCATTTGCGAAACTTGGAGCGAGTTTTCGCCAAAATAGAGGGAGCCAAATTAAAGTTGAACCCGAAAAAGTGTCGTTTATTCAGGAGCAAGGTCAACTATCTCGGCCATGTTATCTCCAGTGATGGAATTCAGACAGACCCGGAGAAACTGGAAGCAGTTCAAAAATGGCCTACCCCTAAGGACAAAACCGAAGTGCGGGCATTCCTCGGCCTATGCTCATACTACAGGCGTTTTGTTAAGGGATTCTCAGAGATAGCCAAGCCATTACATCGGCTGACAGAAGATAAACGACCATTCAGTTGGGATGGGACTTGTGAAGATTCTTTTCAGAAACTGAAGAAACATCTGTGTGAAACACCAATCCTGGGGTATCCACAATCTGAAGGTCAGTTTATAGTCGACAGAGATGCAAGCAACACGGCCATTGGAGGGGTGTTATCTCAAAAACAGGGTGAAAGAGAAGTTGTTATTGCATATTTCAGCAAATCGTTATCCAAGCCAGAGAGAAACTACTGTGTGACAAGAAGAGAACTCTTGGCTGTTGTAAAGACACTACAACATTTCAACAAATATCTCATCGGCAGACAGTTTTTACTGCGAACTGATCACGCAGCCTTGAAGTGGCTACTGCAATTGAAGAACCCAGAAGGTCAAGTAGCTCGATGGATTGAACAGCTCCAGGAGTATGACTTCAAGACGGAACACCGCAGTGGAAAGACGCATGGGAATGCCGACGCACTCTCACGAAGGCCGTGTTCAGAAGACTGCAACCATTGCGTCAAACAGGAATCTAATGAAGTAACATTAAAGATAACGAGAACAAGTCCTTTGGGTCTCTGGGAGAATGATGCTATGAGGGAGGCTCAAGAAAGAGATGACGACCTTCGGCACATTATCACATGGAAGAAACGGGGTGACGTAAAACCAATCTGGAGTGAGGTTGCTCCCACTGGCGCCGTCACAAAGGCGTACTGGGCGCAATGGGACAGTCTGATACTTCAAAACGGAATACACTACCGGAAATGGGAGAAGACTAACGGCAGAGAGTTCCATCTTCAGATAATTGTCCCGAGAACGAGAGTACCAGATGTTCTCCGTGAAATACATGATGGCGTATCAGGAGGTCATCTAGGTGTCAAGAGGACGTTAACAAAAGTGCGAGAACGATTCTACTGGTTGCACTGTCGAGGTGATGTACAGGATTGGAGCCGCAAATGTACTACTTGCGCTGCTGTAAAAGGACCACAGACCAGAAGCCGTGGGAACCTGCGGTTGTATAACGTCGGTGCACCGTGGGAACGAATTGCAGTTGACGTAGCTGGGCCATTTCCTGTAACGGAGTCGGGAAACAAGTATTTTATGGTCGTCATGGACTACTTCACCAAATGGCCCGAAGTGTTCGCCATACCAAACCAAGAAGCTACAACAGTCGCTTCTAAGTTAGTCGAAGAAGTGATATGTCGCTTTGGTGTGCCTCTAGAAATCCATTCCGATCAGGGCAGGAACTTCGAATCGCAAGTATTCCAGGAAGTGTTTAGAATTTTGGGCATGCATAAGACGAGGACCACCGCGTGCCACCCACAGTCTGATGGAATGGTTGAGAGATTTAACCAGACCCTAGAGAGGCATTTGGCGAAATTGGTAGACGACAAACAAAAGGACTGGGACAAGTATATACCACTCTTCCTTCTGTCGTACCGAACCGCCGAGCATGAGAGCATAAAAGCTACCCCGGCGTATGTCAATTACGGTAGAGAACTACGATTACCAGTAGACCTATTGACAGGAGGGTCACCGGAGGGACCAGAGACCGTACAAGACTATGTCTGCAATTTAAGGGAAAAAATGCGCTATATACACGCCTTGGTTCGGGAAAATGGGTTACAGTCAAGTGAGAACATGAAAACCAGATACGACCGGAAATCGAACACGAACGGCTTCGAGGAAGGGTCCCTGGTATGGCTACATAACCCAACTCGCCGGAAAGGGAAATCTCCAAAGTTGCAGACCAAGTGGGACGGTCCATACAAAGTGGTTACCCGACTAAATGATGTGACCTATAGGATTCAAAAGCAACCAAGAGGGACATTCAAAGTGGTACACATAGACCGTCTGGCGCGTTACCATGGCAGTAACAATGATGCTCGGGACGAGCATCTCTAAGAGGGGAGTAGTGTTATGAACACACAAAGGAACTAACGCCATCTAGCGTCAACAGTAAATCCACTAAAGAACAAAGACGAGATAAAACCCCCTATTCAACACAAGATGGCGTTAGAGGAACTGCTGTGGAACTATAGTCTCGAAAACCGGGTACATTCGCGAACTTTCCGGAATCACGAACATGTTCGTGCGTGTCGTGTACGTTCCAGGAATGATCTTTCTGGATTAGCCCGGAACCGGTCTCGGCCCTTATAAAAAGCCGCGGGGAGGCGAGCGAATACAGTTTAGTTTGAGCTACCTTCGAGACGACTTCGGAGTGAAAACTAGTGATCAAGAGCGATACCAGTGAAACCTACGACTTGGCTACAATCTAGGACATCGTTAGTGCTTAGTGATTGGACCTAGTGCTTTGTGTTGGACCTAGCGCTAGTAAATAAAGTCTTCAAAAGAGTCAGCAGGTCTTTCTCTCCAAATCCTTCGAACCCCTAACACGTAACACTATATACAACCTGGTTGAAATCATGATTTCCAACGCAAGATCAGACAACTCCCTCATTAACAATCTCAGGGAATGCCCTCGGCAAATAACCACAAACCTCAGCCTCAACAACCAACCCGGCACGAGTATCCATGAGGCCCCAACTAGACTGCCAAGCCCCTCCGCGCAACCCCTAACAACTTAAGCTCGAAAGCCAGCACCTTTGATAGCAGCAACCTAGAGATTCCCGGTACCAACTCCGAGATGTTTATCTCTGGGCACACAAAAAACGCGACAACCTGCACCTGCACTAGTACCACAACAGGAACCAACAGCAGTCCACGCAGCTCCGCTAACATCAGCAGACCTTCGTCTCACAGGGGTAAGGGAGGGAATCAGTGTCTATTATGCGGCGCTTTCTACACCAGCCGCAATATATTAAGACATTTCAAATTGAAACACCCCAATTACATGAACGGACAATTTAATCCCTCCCACCAGTTTTACCCCCGTTATTTCTATTCCAAAACAATCGCTCCAAGACGTCGGTGCCCTAGAGAACTCAGACCACCGGAACACCTGCTAGCTAATGTGGAGGGAATTAACCCAATATTTCTTGGCAGACTACATAAGAATACTCATCAGAATCTCACCACTGAAGAATCATCGGACTCTTGTTAGCCCTCAATTATATAGCTGATTATAAATTTATATATATATGGGAAAAAAAAAAAAAAACCATTTTGCTCTCATAATCAATACACACTACTTTTTGTTATTATTGATAGATGTAAGAATTTCCAATTATAGAGTTATGTCAATCATTGTATATTCCAATTATGTGTGTACATTATTACTACTACATTGTATAATTACTAGACTAAGTCACTAATTCTCAAAAAAAAAATAAGAAAAAAAAATATAAAGACATTATGTTATCGTAATCAAAACACACCACGTTTGTTACTATAGATAATACATTTATTACTATTGTACATAAATCATATGTTTCTACAAAATTACTGTACTTATATATATCTCTACAAATTATTGTACTTTGTTATACCAAATATTGTTAACAATTATAGATTAATATCTCAATTCACTCCTCTCTGCAGCTCAAAATAGACAATAGAATAACCGACTTTATAAATTATAGAATCATGCCAATCATTGTATATACTGATTACCTGTAAACTTACATTCTTACTACTAAATCACATAATTTCTAGAATAAGTCAATAATTCCCAATGTAACATAACACTAAATGTCTAGTTATATTCACACCAACATATATATATATATATATTTATATATTCATATACACATATATATCGACACAAGATATTTATTAGGCATATACCTCACGCATTACTCTTTATATATTCATCTAGAACTCTATAACATATATAACATATATTATCTCCCACTAACATTAATAATTTATTTCAATCAAAGTAATGACAGATGCTTCATAAAGAAAACAATACTCCTAAATCATATTACATAAGACTTATTATACTCAGCAGTCTTTTATACCCAACACACACAAAACACCCCCACGATAATCCATCACACCAAATCCTCACAAAACAAATTATTATTAACCGACCGACCGACCGACCGACTAAATACATTTAATGAACTGCCTATAAAATTTATATGGATTTATATTTATATGGAAAACGTAAATCTCATCTCTCATAATAACGCCAACATTATAATATGTTAAGTTCAAATATACATATAACATACAAATTAAAAACGGTATAAGTATATCACTTGTGTCTCTAGTGACAATTATTCTCATAAATATTAAAAATCCTCACTTATCAGACGAAAAGTGAATAAAAAAAAAGACGACTTCCATCAGGAAACTAAAAAGAAAAAAAAATACTTAGCACAAAGTAATTCGTATTTTGATAAAAAAATCATAAAAAATTTAATAATTATGTTATGATTTTGAACACAAGAATTTTTTATTTGATTAAGCAGACAGGATGAAAGAAAAAAAATTTAAATTTATTTAAATTATTACATAAAACCTATTTTTGAATAAATATCTCCAATTAGTTACGTCATTTATGTTTATAAGTAATCATTCCATGACATGCAATAAATAAACACAAGTAATATTAATTTCTGCTGTGTGACTAATAAAACGGCTCTTGCTTATTAATTTATTTTGTAATGACGGTCTCTCCAAAGAAACACACATCGAACTTCACCACCTCAACAACTAACAGAGGCGTCGAGGCTAAAGAAGTGGAAATTGGTAACATACTTTTAGGTGCGATTTGTTTTCTATATATTTTTAGGTACATGAACACATAACAAGATCATGTTTTGCAAAAGTAGACACAAGTATGCAGCCTTCGAGCCAGCCCAGCCATCCGAGCCAGCAGAGCACTGACTGCAGTCATACCTCAACTTCGCCGCCATCGCGGGGCGATTCCGCATCTTACATTCAGGTTGATAGATGTGATGCTCATATTACATGAGTTACACTACATATTATTCAGCTGTATGTGGACAATAAAATTAAACTTTAAACTACATGATAAATGTCAGGTACTGGTGCAGAAGCAGAGACGTCGAAGGGACACAATCACCGCACCCCGTCTTCCGCAACCTTCGAGCCCAGGCGCGCCACCGGCGCCGACTCCTCCACGTTGCAAGACCAAGCCAGCTATGTTACAAGCAGACTCTACTCGGATGCAGTTTATACCTATACCTCATGCAATAAATGAAAATACTCCACAAAAGGTAGAAAATTATATAACATGTATTAGAAATTATCTGAATTTATGATAGCTGTTTAAAGAAGACATGTTTTATGATGTAGCATGGTGGCTGTGTTGCTTGCAAAATATGGCCCGAATCTCTGCTAGCTTGCCCTGCGATTGCAGCACTTCACCAATCGTAAGTTCTTTTGCTCATAGCTAAATTATGTCTACAGCAAAAAAGTATTTTATTCTTTAAAAGTTAAATTCAGTATCATTTTGATATTATGTAGGTGCGGTGCATTACCAGAACCAACATGCGAACGAAAGAAGAACGAAAGGGCGTTGCCAAAGCGACTCGGTGCTCTACCGGTAACAGCAACCATTAATATAATATACATCAACAATAAGCCTACCTGTGGATAATCAAATACACCTGTGTAGTTCAATTTTAAAACGATCAATTTATATTAAAAGAAACTTATATACTCATGCACCAATCAGAACTCTTCAAGATGGTGCTATGAATTGCGGTGATTATGAGTGCATGGCCATGGATTTATTGTATTGTACTGATGGTTAAATGAGTGTTCCTGGGATAAGTTTTAGTTCACCAATTTCAACAATAAAATGGCAAAAGTGCATTAAAAATCATGACCAAAATACATTGATTTATGTATTTGTTACGAATTTGTACAAAGAAGACGTTTTCGTCGCAGCGGTAAAGAAACCCACTACTTCCGGATTCGTGCCCAGACGTTTTAACCACAATTCTTTATTAATATGTTCCCAATTTCACCAACAACAAAATTTCCATTAACATGCCACATATCAAGTTTACAACAACAATAACTTTTCTTTTGTATGATCAGGAAATATTTTTGAATAATATTCTCTCAAATCAATACTTAATTGAAATAAAGACGATTAATTGAAAGAAACTTATTTTTTTTTAGAAGAATGATGTTTCTCTGTGGCGGAAAGTAAGAAACATCACAAAAGAAAATATGGAGCCCCTAGACGGTGAGGCACACGTATAATAACGTTATATTAATTAAATTATTTTTGGCATTAATAGGGCTCAGTTACTAGTATTGGTTGGGTTTTTAGTAACGAAGCAAATAATTTTTATGATGCATACTGAGTATTATAGACAGAGTGCGAAATCTAAGAGTATGTGGCTTCTGATTATGTGGAGGGTAATATCCCAATCTATAAAGCGTTTGAAAAGTTCTTTCACATGAATTGATTTCTTCTTCTTAATTTTTAGTCCATGTTGGTTTTATTCTAGATTATTGAATTAATTGCGGATTTAATTAGTTTTTAACCAACACGTTTAATTTTGTAACTGACCGATGATAAGCCTGACGACGTGGGCGTCTGTTTCTAATTAAATATGTTCGCGCAACCCGAGTCCAGGTTGAGAATAGTCGCTGTGTAAGTGTAGAGAGGTGGGACACTTTTAAGGCCCCGAGCGGTTGGACGTTTACCGATTCGAGACGGGCCTGGCGACGCTGAGCGCGCGCGGCTCGGCGCCCACGCGGCTCGAGCGGGCGCTGCGGCGGGGCGCTCGGCCCGCCGCGCGCCTGCTGGCGGAGGCGCTGGCGGCGCCGCGGCTGCTGGCCGCGCTGCCCGCCGCGCTGCTGCTCGCGGCGCTGCGCAGTGCGCTGACGCCGGTGCGCGACACGGCCGTGGGCCTGGTGCAGACCGCGTCCGACTACATGCTCAAGCCGCTGCTGGCGCTGGCGTTCAACGCGCTGCTGCAGCCGGCGCTCGCGTGCGCGATGCAGAGCGCGCGCGCCGTGCGAGCCGCCGTGCGCCCCCTGCTGCTGGCGCTCAACGACGCGGTGGAGCCGCTCGCGCGCCTCCTGGCCGCCGTGCGCCTGGTGCACGTGGAGCGACGCTGCGCCTGCTCCTGCTCGCACGCCGTCTAGCCGTCGTCGACCACCGCCCGTTCTACTTATCGTGTAAATGTAAATATTAACGATTGCAATTATTCAATAAACATTTGTTTACTAAATACTTCACTTTGGGGCTATCACCGGAGGTTTTATAAAAACTAAAACTAGGTGAGTTAAATGTAGGACAGTTTAATACTGACTGCCAATAGTTCCTTACATTTCTAACACGGGAATTTGAACTTCCTTACTATATTAGGCTACTTAAAAAACAAGTCCAAGAATCTAGACCGCTGCGTTAG